AAATGGGAAGTGTTCATTACAAATCTGCAAGTATAAACTCTCCATAAATAGATCACGGTCACATAAACAACGAGCCAGACCTGAAGCATTATACACTACAACAATCTAGTGACAATGGCAATCCATTCATCTTTTCTTACTTTAGAGCTTTCACAAAATGGCAGTCCAGTGACAAAATAAAATTCAAGGGCACAAAAGAAAAAACAAGTTATAGATTTTCTTGCCAGGCCACAATGAAATGATAGCTACCTATCTCATAATACTTTGAAAAAAAGAAAACTGGTTCTACTTCCATCAGATTTATGATACCGCACAGCTTATTAATTAAACAATGGTAGGCTGGGAAATACCATTGTCTGGGAAGGACCAGATCTTGCTTGATTATTCTGAGCAATATTTTTACTCAAGACACTTAGAAAACATCTCTTTTTTCTTTTGAGAATTAAACAATAAAATCTCACATCATCATCATCAGAGCCTTTTCCCAACAATAAAATCTTACAAGTAACCAAAAAAATCTATGAAATTGCAGCTACAGATAAAAATAATTATACATTTATAGCAAACAACATTTATACATTTATAGCAAACAACATTCACAAGCACTGAAACCGCAAAACCAAGGCAAAAAAAAAAACACTAAACGGAATAAAAGTTAAGTTCATCAGCACTCACAATACTTATCACAGCAAGAATAGGAAATGTCCATAAACAGCAACCTATAAACTAGAGAAAATCCACATAATGATAAAAGCTTGATCTGGAAAAAAAACACAGGCACCAAATCTACCACAACCACAAGACAAAAATTCATCAAAAAACTGGGAAACTAATTCAATAACTGTCACTACTTAATCAAGTCACCATGGAAGTATCCCTACAGGAACCACAAATCCTAATCAGGCATAAAAGGAACAAAATAAAAATACCATAAAATCTATTTCAAATTAAATCACTAAACTGAAAAACAAAAAGGGCAAACCAAGGAATACATCAAGTGTAAAACAACACATATCCCTAGGAACCAGTCTGCATCGGAAAATATTCATTTTTAGTAAATCGACCTAAACCAAATGAAATTCCCAGTTCAAGTTAATAGGAAGCAGTACATGCCTTATGTATTTGATCTGATCGTCTAGTAAGCAAATAAAAGGAACCCAGCCCATATATTGCCAAATACCAAAAGTGAAATCAAGAATCCATCTCAAAAGAAACCAAATATTTCACATAAGATCCAAGCATATTCAACTGTAACGACACATAACACCACTATATCCGTACCTATATAGAAAAAAAGAATAAACTAGTTCCACCAAATACTACGTAAAAGCAAGTTATTTCACAAAAATCATCCCAGCTATCAAAATTTATATCCTCTGGGTAATTGAGTTCATATCCGATCGAGATCCCACAAAACGGCCCTCTACTTGTTCACTTCTTCACGAAACCTCTAACAGTGAAAAAAACCAAACATACTTAAACCAGATATTAAAACTTTAAGCTATACAGTACCACCAATCACACCAAAAAAACCTAATTTTATCAAAGGACCTGCATTTATAAACCTTACTCGAAAGCAAATAAAGAACCGACCAAACAAAAAGTGATATATCAAAAGCCTGTAGCAAGCTAAAGCACATCGTCGTCCAAAAAAAAAAGCAAAAACAGCGAGAGATTTCCTATCGACCGATCTTTATAACTAAATCTCTAGCAAATAAACCAAGCAAACAACATATATCAAAGCTCGAAGTAAGCAAACTCATACCACCAATCACACATGAAGCCACAAATAACCTAAAAATGGAATTTTTGGATGAAATATAATTCTCTTGCAAATAAATAGAAAAATCGCAAGAAAACAAAACCAGATATTAAAGGTTATGTGATCTTAAGATCATACCACAATTACAACAACAAAAAAATCTAGATTCCCTATGAATGATCTGATTAAGAACCAGTAAAACATTGAAAACAAGTGAATCAACAAAATATGCAGAGAAAGTAAATCCCCATGGATCTTAGAAATAGGGTTTACCTAAAATGGCAGAGAGATACATCTCATGCCGCCTCAGAGAGTTACGAAAGAGAAGAAACGTAGAGGACACCCTATTATAAACCCTAATGTTGGCCCTTTGAGATAGTCCTAGCAATCTCTAACATGAATCCTGGCCATTGACTGAGGGGGAAATTCATTCTGTAAACTGTCTTTGGAGATGATAAGCGTGAGGCAACTTGATCCCCACGCTTGCCCAAAAGGCTGTGTTCGATAACTTTCTCTGCAGTTTCCCTAGTATTCTCCCTGCTGCTGACTTTCCTGAAATCTGGGAGAAAGAGAAATTTGGTAGCCTGAAGCTAGAACCCTGTTTGATAAACTGTGGTGCTACTATTTTAGCCTGTTTGGTAATGTTGATGTTGGGAGAGCACGAGACAGCCTGTTTTAACCGTTTATTATGAATTTTCATGATTTGATGTGTGTAATGTATATTTTTGAATAATATTTTCTCGCCACTACCTATCTAATGCATTTCCTAAAAAGTATGGTTAAGATTGAAATTTAATCTCACATCTATATTAAGAAATAGCCTCAATAAAATTGCAACAAGTATAAAGAACCAGAAAGGTGGAGTTAAACACACGATTCTTAAGCCAAGTGAAACTAAAAGTAAGTTCCCAATCACAATACTTCTACAATTTTTATGTTATGAGAAATCAACGAGCAAGAGACATGAAAAAAAAAAATATAGACGAAATAACCAAATTGCCAATGAATATTGCAAAGAAAGAAAACTAACAGTTATATGAACCAAGAGGGTCAAAATCAGAGAAGTATCACAAATAATTTCACTACAAGAACAACATCAATAAATTGTATAGCTAACTATACTAATCTCAAAACTCTGAATGCTTGGTATACAAGCATAATACAGCATTGCGTGCACCGATAACTTGTATTAATGAAGAGCAAATTCCAAGAATGTGAGAAATCAACATGCCACAACATCTAAAGCAAAAATAAACTAAAACAAACCAAAGCAGGTAAAATAGTTCAAACTTACAACTTCAAACTGACTATATGACAAATATCCCAATTCAATCTAGAATGATGTTGTTTGTGACATACATAATGAAGTAAAAACAGTTACAAATTTCAATTTCACGGCTTTCTATTACCCAGTGAGAGATAATGCCATTACAACAACAGAATAACAAAATTAAACCCCAGACCTTGGCAAAAGTAACCGGAAAAACCTAAATTTCAACCCAATGAGTACAAAAACCAATGAGTACAAAAACCAAATGAGTACAAAAACCAAATAACAGAAAACCCCATAAATTATATAACCAAATGACAATAGAATAGAACCCAGTTTTATAGATATCAAATCCTATTGCATAATACAACCTCCTAAATAAGCGTTCATCAATAAATAAAAATAAAAACAGTAAAAGAATACTTAGATTATTAACTCATAAAACCAACTGAAAATTAGTTCAATGACGCACCACAAAAACAAAACCAACAACGATAGCAACAATGATCAATTAATCAAACACCTTAAGCCCAAAAAAATTTATATAATAGACACAAAATCAAATTAATCAAACTCTAGAGCCCAAATTGTACTTCTCAATAAACAGAAAACCCACATCAAAATTGATGTAACAAACTAGAAAAACAAAACATGGGGCTTTTCTTATTTGCGCATAACCAGGAAAAAAAATAGAAACAAAAATCCAATAAAAAGCTCTCTGTAGACTTGGGGTTAATCTTGTTTGACCTTAATCAGATAAAAAAAAAGAACCTAAATCAGAAATAAAATCTCATTTAGAAATGGGATTATCTTTTTTGAGTTCTAA